GAGACAGACCAAGCTTATTTTTCGTTGCGGTTCTGATGGGACAACTGAGGCTTTTCTGGCTCCAACGTACGGAGACGCGCGTTGATTTCTCGGAATGCTCGACGTAGGTTCATCTCGAATGAAGACCTCGATAGAGTCGAGCATCGCATCGTCTACGCGGTTAATGCTCCCATTGTTTCCTGGGGGAGAAAAAGAACTGAAATCTGACAGAATATTGAAGAAGATATCGAAGAACTAGCTTCGCATGTCCGCAAGAACTTCTCTCTGTTTAAATTCTCGCCACCATTTTTCTGATGTGGATTTCCTAATTTGCAACACTTGATTGACTTGAGCCGACAAACCGAAATTTTCATTTCGTCTTGCATCGATGAGTGAGTTCCTCTTCGTATCTCTCTCTCGCAGTCGTGCCATTGCGAATGAATTTAATTTGGAATGGAAACTGGGATGTGAGACGCGGAACAGACGAAGAAAGGAAATATTCTAGACAGACTAGATAAGCCGCCTGAGCGGCTCCTGCTCTCCCTTTGCTCATCGCTGACTCCAACGCTCTCCCTATATTCTTCATTCCACGCCGATGGCGATACCTGTGCGAGTGCGGGTTATTATCATCGTAGGAAGGCCTGAGAATCACTTTCAAAAGGCATGTTGGAGTCATTCCAAGTCGGGAGTTCAAATGGTGGTTGAGCATCCGATTCGGACAGGGATTTGCTTGAAAAAAATTCACACACCGTGGTCTCCCTGAGTTCCGAAAAAAAATTGCATTACCAATTTTAGTGCTATAGCTGCAACGGTTCTCGAGATATGCTGTCCCAAAGGGGAAAGTGATACCATGAGTCAAACGGCTGTCTTTGGCTCTAATTGAAGTAGGAATGATATTTGGACTAAAATTAAAACCGAGAAAAGTTTCGATATGAATTATGAACTTATTTACATCTTCATTAAAAAAATTCCAAGTCCGAATGAGCTTTTGAATCATTGCAATACTAGTCAATAGCAATCTTTAAAAGGCTAGATTATACAGTACTTGCTACTTTGTTTCTACCAGTAGAGAATTAAATTTTAAAAGTCTCACTTTGCCAGATTTCACTAGATTCGACAGCTTTTATGGTTCGAACTAGATACAAACTACAAATCAGTGTCAAATTAAAACTGAAACTCTTTCTTTTGATTCACGCTCTTATTATTTTCACACCTGTGAGATTTTTAGTGCCAGTGAACTTGTCATTTTTTATGTTGAGAAATTTTCCCAAAGGGGAATGCTGGTGACACAACGAGATCTAAATATAGTAAAATTCATGTGATAATTAAGCAGTGGCGTAGCAAGAAATTTTGGGCCCCCCCGCAAAACTGAACTCTGCCCCCCCCCTCCAATTACCTGCAAAGGAAGATACCTCCTCTCCTGTACAACTAAAATACCAGCCGTCAGCGGGACTCCTGTCTAGGCTATTTCTACGGGGAAATTCCTTTGTGAAAGATTATCCATTTCCTGCGAAGAAGTGAAAAACAACAGAAATTGTCACCGTGACCCATGGGCGACTCGTGATATTCAGCAGTTGTGGATCGTCAATGAAAGTAGGGAAGGTCCGGGCCTAATCTANCTGCAACGTATATGTAATGAATAAGTAGCGATTTGCAACGTAAATGCAATGTTCCTTCGCAACATTTGAGCAACGTTGACGTTTTGGACATTTACACATAGATGCAACATTGTTCATCAACATTTCCTAAACGTTGCTGGAATATCTTGTGTTACTTGGGTAGGTCGTTCGTTCACTGAGTCAGTCTCCTTGTATCATTTGATAGCTGCATAGACAGCTGAACGGGGTGCTTTGAGCATTTTCGCGATTTCGCTCGCAGAGTGGCCAACATTGAATAAGGCGATAGCAGCTTCACGCCTTTGTTTCTGCTCGTCGTTCGGCGTCATGAGGTTGAAACTCGGTGAGACCATTCGTCACACTTCACCCAACACCTGCCGAAAATTTCACCTAAATATCTCAAAACCATCAGCTTTTATGAGAGGTGTCCAAGAACTTTTGGTGCACCCTGTATATAGACCGCAAATTACAGAAACTTTGAGTTATTTCTCCCTTGTGATTATTTGTAATGAGTAGCAAGACTAGTGGTGCTGCAAAGAGGAAAAAACGACGGCAAGCAGATCGAGAACTACAAAAAGTGAAGAATATTGATAGTTTTTTTTTTTTTTTTTGCTGGAGGAGCTTCAAGCTCTGATAATACTGCTATTTTCGAAACCGATCTCCAAGAATCGGAAGGTGAAGCCACTGAGAATAGTCTCCTGGGGGAAGAGGACGCTACTGACGATCCTAGAGTCGCCTTGGAAGATTATTGCATCGTTTCACGAACGGGACAGACGCTCCTGAACTGGAAATCGACGTGGCTCTAGCGGATGCAAGCGAGCCAGCGCCATGCTGCCTGGGTCCTGCAGCTGCATCTAAAGTCTCGTTCGGTGCTCTTTCGCACGAGAGACACCCAACCTACAGAGGAAACTTTCCAACAGATGTACAGTCGTCACCTCCCAGATGAAGAAGAGATTTGTTCTGGAGCAAGGACCGTCCCGATTGAAGGGGCCCTACCCTAGGGATAAAATTCAAGACCGCTCGTTCTCAGGATCATATTATAGTACCACTAGTCTTGCTACTCATTACAAATAATCACAAGGGAGAAATAACTCAAAGTTTCTGTAATTTGCGGTCTATATACAGGGTGCACCAAAAGTTCTTGGACACCTCTCATAAAAGCTGATGGTTTTGAGATATTTAGGTGAAATTTTCGGCAGGTGTTGGGTGAAGTGTGACGAATGGTCTCACCGAGTTTCAACCTCATGACGCCGAACGACGAGCAGAAACAAAGGCGTGAAGCTGCTATCGCCTTATTCAATGTTGGCCACTCTGCGAGCGAAATCGCGAAAATGCTCAAAGCACCCCGTTCAGCTGTCTATGCAGCTATCAAATGATACAAGGAGACTGACTCAGTGAACGAACGACCTACCCAAGTAACACAAGATATTCCAGCAACGTTTAGGAAATGTTGATGAACAATGTTGCATCTATGTGTAAATGTCCAAAACGTCAACGTTGCTCAAATGTTGCGAAGGAACATTGCATTTACGTTGCAAATCGCTACTTATTCATTACATATACGTTGCAGCAATGTTGATTAAAAACCTTGCTTCACGGGCACCTAATCTGGGCCTATATTGGCATTACGGAAAAGCGTAGGCTTCACTGGTCCTGAACTGGACCGATATTTGACCAATATTGAATTATTTATTTCATCCTTTCGTACCATATACTTTACCTCTCTACTCGGACATTCTCATCAACAGGACGAAGCCTGTACTGGTTTTACCCTCTACCCATGCATAATATAATATCTGTATCATGTACAGGCAGGAGACAGTACATTTTTGGAGGTGATCTTCCCCTGGAAGTGCTGAATTGCACAATACAGGAAAAGGTCCGACCGCAATGTTCTATGGAGTGTCCTCGAGATCAATCCTTCGTTTCCTCAGCTGGTACCCAGAATGAGGATATGAAGTATTGAGATCGCAGACTCTTGGAAAGGGTTCTTTTTGGGAATATGAGCTTTTTTTATATTGACCCCATTAATCTGTCTGGAAAATGAAGATAACAGGTGATGAAGTGTCCGTGTTCATTGATTCCTATAATGAGACAATGTGAGACACATGGCAAGGTACTAGACATTATTGTGCGGGACTATTCCAGGAAAAGGGAGAAGGGCACTTGTGTGTACTGTGAGAGAGCGAGGCTTACGTCTCCATCTCGTGGCAAGGAGGACAACTTTACAATTCTCTAAAACTTCTAAGTCCATGTTGTATCAGAATGTTGTCGCTACGTTGTCGATGTCAAGAGTGTAAACATTCTCTCAATGTTGATAGCTAATGTTGCAATGACATTCGTAGAAGTGTCGCAGCAACATTCCAAGTGAAAACATTGAAGCAATGTTTTCTCAATGTTGTACAGCAACTTGCAACATAGAGCAACATAGACAACATTTCGGAAACGTTTCATCAACATACTGTGTTACTTGGGCAGTAGTACTAGATATTGGCTCAATGCTGGACCAAAATTGGGCACCTTGTCATCTTGCCATTATTGCCGATATCGGCTAAATATTGGCTTCCCAACATTGCCATTCTATCCTCGATTCAATATTGGACTGACGCGATGATCCAACGTGCCCAAGTTGCACGTAGAAGTTCTCTGGAAATTTTGAAGTTCTCCTCCAGGCCACTATGGCATGGCCACTAGATGGGTCTCGCTTTTCGCACAGTACACAAAAGTGCACTTCCCTCTTTCCATGGAACTATTCCTCACAGGAATGTTTAGTATCTCATCATATGTCTAGTCTCATTATAGCAATCAATAAAATAGGACAATTTTTCATTTATTATCCCCATATTCGAAACAGAATCATGGAGCTCGGGCGATAAACAAGCTCACATTCCCTATGAGCACTCCTTGCATTATACACGTACATACGCTTTTCCGATAGGAGCCTCTGTTAAGTGAACGAATTCGTGGGATCTTTCCATCATTTCATCATCTCTGGGGGCGCAGAATGACCATTCCGTCCCTAAGGGAAGAAGATGACTTGAATTTCCGGTAATTCCATACAGTTTCTTTGGTGGCGTTTCTTGGCCGTCATTATTGACCCGGTACTGGGATGTGGGTGAGCGTTCCAATAAGCGACATTACAATGTTGGCACAACGTTCAGCCAATGTCGAACTTCAACGTTTATCTGAGTATTGCGATAAGCGACATTGAAATATTGACAATGTTAGATGCAACGCCACCACAACGGTGAGAAGGTNCGACGTGACTCCAGCGGATGTAAGCGAGCCAGCGCCATGCTGCCTGGGTCCTGCAGCTGCATCTAAAGACTCGTTCGGTGCTCTTTCGCGCGAGAGACAACCAACCTAGGAAACAGAGGAAACTTTCCAACAGATGTGCAGTAGTCACCTCCCAGATGAAGGAGAGATTTGTTCTGGAGCAATGACCATGCCGATCGAAGGGGCCCTACCCTAGGGATAAAATTCAAGACTGCTCGTTCTCAGAATCATATTACAGTACCACAGCGAAATTGGGGCTGTCCATCCCAGTAACCTGACTGTTATTTCCGAAAACTGGACGCCGTTTACTGTGAGCCCTGTTGCTGACAGAAAGGACTCAAAATACCATTCCGCCTGATCTACGGGCATACGTGACTGGCGTGAACTTTCGCAAAAAATTAAGGACCATGCTAAATCAGTTGCACACCCCTCAATTTGCATGACCTATGTCCAATGGAAGCAGAATGGCACAATTGACGAAGCAGCCGAACGTCAAGTACATGAAGGAGCTTCTTCACAGACCTAGTGGGAAAATAATTGTACATGAAGGAGCTTCTTCACAGACCAAGTGGGAAAATAATTATCTGAGTCCTTAAATCCAAAGCGAGTTCATTGAGCTTCTTGCAAATAATTTGGAAACAGAGCTACTGCGTGATATGAAAAGTGTGCCATTTTTCTCTATCATTATGGATACGATACATTTAAAAAAAGGACCAACTGAACCATATCTACTGATTCGTTATGCTTCGATATCAGATTTTATTCCATTCATACAGTGAGTAGCAAACCTGTCATGAGGAAATGAGTTTTTTAAATTTATTTTGAGGGAGGGGGGCAGAGTTCAGTTTTGCAGGGGGGCCCAAAATTTCTTGCTACGCCACTGTTCTGGTGCATCATGGAATGCTCTACTTATAAAAAAAATATATATCTTCCCTCATTTACCTTATTATGTAAGTATATAACTGGACCGGTAAAGACTTGTCCTGAAGAAATTCAGGTAGGAAGTACAAGAAGAAATGCTGCAAGAAGACACGTACTTCAACAATTGATGATGTTAATTTGTTCATAGCGCTTGAAAAGGTTGAAGATCCACAGATCCAATAGTTGGCAACACTCAAGTTAGGACCAATTGAATGGCTTCCACAACCTCCTGACTTGACTGTTGCAGACTATTGGTTCTGGAAACATTTAACACGTTCGCTGCCAATGACGCACCTTGAGTTATCCTTTCCATGGAAACTAATGTCATCGGCAGCAAATGTGTTAATAGAATGTTGTCTATGTGATTATATCTAGACATGAGGAACTATTAAAGGCATGCATCATGGAGAAAATAGAGGCAATACCTATGGAAATGTTTTGTCTTGCATTCAGTGATTTCCCCAAGCACAGTTAAGAATGTCTTGATGTAAAAGGAGAACCATTTGAAGGCATTCAAAAATTATTTCATCCAGCTCTTATTACCACAAATAAAGAAAAGAGCTATAGGAGTGTACTAACACTTGCTTTACATTTTTACCATTTTTAGTCCCAGGCTAATGTGCAACCAAATTTGGAGAATACACCCTGTACCAATAATATTACCATAATATACCCTTGACTATGGTAAGTGGATCCATCACAGTTGCTTTGAAGCTATGTCCCTATCTCACATCAGGAATTGAAGGCATTGGACAAACCTTTGTATCACATGTAGCCTGCCCCATGGACACAGGCTTTTCTTTCTCTTCTGCTCCTGAGATAGGGAGCTTTCTACTTGTAGTTCCAGGTACCTCCATACTCTCTGGAACTTGAACAGGTGAACTTAGTTGTTCCATTATATTGTTTATCACTCCTAGTCTTGGACGTCTTGTAGGAGGGGTGCCATAGCTGGCCTCCTTCTCACCTAATATCAAAATATACAGGGAAAATTGAAAATACCAGAACCACCATTTTGTGCAGGCACATTGGCAATGGGAAATTTAAACACTTCTTCAACAACATCAACTGGGCACACTAATGTTTCAGACTGCTGCTGTACATAAATATACTAAAAAAAATTAGTATTCAGGTAAATTCCTCTTCTGTATATTGAGGTACTGTTATTATTAATTTCAGCTCCCTTAGTAAGACATTGCCAAATAAAGACTTATCATATGGGTAATGACATCACTATACCAGAAGAGAGCTTCTTGATGCATTACAAGGAAAAAATAACAAAAATATAAGATTACTATGAAAAAACAGATGTAGGAGAGCTCAAGATGAGATATTTCTTAGTTTTACATTCATGCACATATTTACATATATGCACCTGGAGAAGATAAATGAAACTGTAAGCCTCACCCAGATGTGTGCCAGATATTAATGACATGTAATTACTGAAGGAGTGCCTTACTTTAGAAATTAAAACTTACCCATATTTAAAAGTGGTATCTTCTTGTACAACAGAAAGTAAACAAATCCTCAGACACCAATCACAGTCAAATATAGTCATAAGTAGAATCCTATAATGCTACACATGGAAGAGATGTATTGAGTTACAGACATGTTTTTCATATGTCTCATGGCATGGTTGATCCACATACTGGATAAGAAATTCAGGAGTCAAAAAAAAGAAATGCAGGTAATATCAGATTTAAACAAGATCATCTTCTCCCATTCTAAATTTCCACCTAGTTATTACAAGGCCTTAATTAGACAATCCAGGTATGGCTGACAGGATCCCTCCATTGCTTCATATTGAGATATGACAACTACTGGATCTTACCCCCAGTAGCTGGTCGAACATGAGGAGGCACTTTTCCACTCTTCAGCTGAGACTGGAGCATGTGATGGTCTACACAGGATAAGACACTAGTCCCAGTACAGAGTGCTTTCACTGGATTCATCAACTCTTCCAAGTCCAAAATTGCATAACGACTCAATGTATCCAGATCCACAGATGGATCTCCTCTCATCATGAGGCGACCATGGAAATATCGCAACAGGATCTGAGAAGCCTGTGCAACCACCTCCACTTCAGAATGGGGAACTGCTGAGGAAATACCATTACAATGGGTGTCTTCAAGAACAATCTCCTACCTGATCACATAGATCTATAGTAAAGCAGAGACTCACTTTGGGAACAACAGCCTCCAATGAAGTCGGCAGCCAAGACGCAAAAGGCCCGATAGAATCCCTCATATTCCGTTTCATGATTCAGTATCTCTTGTTCGCTGTGGATTATAACCACAAGCTAGTAAAGTCAACTTCAAACATAAGGTCTATCTCTAGGCTAGTTTGCCCAAAGGCCTTACCCACAGAAACAGACAAAATGCAATGCTCAAAAGTCCCAATCAGTGAAATGAGTTCTACAATCCGCTTAGTGACTCAATACGTCTGACAAACTCATGGCAGACCAGGCATACCTATAGGCCCATGACACAGACTTAAGAGATAAACATTACCCTTATGTTTCATGATATATGTCTATAGCTAATGTCACGTTTTGTGCCTGTGACAAGGGCCTAACATTAGGACTAACATTACGCACAGGACTTATAATAGGATCAACTTGAGTCGAAGTTAAGTCATTGACTACTATGCAATTGAGCAGCATGAATTCCTTGCGTCTTTGAAGGTTGACGTCGTTTCAGAGTACTTACTTGCTTATCACACCCCTTGCTAAATCTGGCAAGGCAATGACGCTCGGCTGCTGATACGGGAAATGCAACAGAACGGGTTTTATAGACGAAGACAAGTCCAGCAGCCCACCGCCGGCTGCGGCCATGTTTCTTGGACATGTCTCGACCGCCATGCCATCTAGCCGGGCTAAAGAGCAAACTTGATAATCAGTACGAATGAACTACCCGGTATTTCTTACTTCCCGAGACAGCTGAGATGAGCACGTAAATATTTGAGGAGATCACCAATAATACTTGTAAAGTATAAAATATATTGTTTTCTTTTATTACACATAGGCGTCTTAGGAGGACTATTTCTATTATTATTGGAAACATTTTAAACTTTAATTTCGAAAAGGAAACGTTTTGAAGTCGAGAATCTGAATCGACAGGCACAATAGAGTGGTAAATTGATTATATCAATCAGGTCAGACTAATTCAATGATTCTAGTGCAAAAGCGATGGGAAGGAATGTTCGGTTATAATACTAATCTGCTTTTTCCTTCATCTGTTCGCACTAAGACTTCTCTTATGGAGTCATGACAGAGTACAGGAAGGAAACTAACTTTTCTGAATTCTGGCCAAATTTTTCCAATTCTTCTCCCTTTTAAGGAGTAGGGCGTGGATGTTGGCCTCCTTGCACCATGCGCGCACAACCCATGCCTGTCCCCCTCGGCCTCTCTTCGCGCAAGCGGACGCCAAGTCTCTGTCTGTGTCTGGATAATGCTTTGATGACAGCGATTGACATTGGCGCTGAATTCGTCTGAGAAGTGAGTGCACCTGCTGATGTCTGTGGAAATGGCGTGCATGGGAATACTAGAAATTACTTTATCGGTATGTGAAGTACTTTCACCTGGAAAATCACTCGAAATATGGATAGTTCCTCCATTTTCTATTTTGAAGGACTCTAAAAACACTATCTTCGACCACAATTGTAAATCATTATTTCCTTTCACTATTCGTCATTGATTATTTCAACCTGGACAATTTTCTCCCATGCCCAATTCACAAGACCTTCAAAATGGTCCCAGAAACTCCCTCCTCTTCTCTAACAAGATGGTTATAAATAAACCCTTGAGAAACGAACTGAGACCTCTTCGCCTGCCACCCCTTCACCTCTCCTCGAGCCTCTGTCGAACCTGTGCCACAAACGAAATTTCTCGGCTCACTTTTAACGACTTGGAACCTCGCTGTTTCCGGAGACCAAAAACTTCTTAAGCTACACATCTCCTGCTTCACTGAAGATGGTGGCCGATGCTACTGAGCTCCTACGTTTCCATTATTGTTTCTCGGTCTTCGCTCTCTGCAACATATCGTACATAATGAGCATCAGCCTCCTTCTTAAGCGCTGCCTTTATCCACTGTAAAGATCCCATCTATTATACGACTGAGCTCTATACATTGTCGAATTAGATGAGGATTGACCTATTGGCCTCCTACACTAACGTCGCACAGTTATACATGGTGATTATGAAGTCTCGATGTATTTTTATGTAGAGTAATACATAAAAATAGATCGAGACTTTATAATCACCCTGTAGTTTGTCTATCTCGTTGAATCGTTTAAGATGGAACCTCTCGGTGAAACTTTCCTCCGTTCCTCCCAAAGCCACAATACTCGCGACATCTTCTTTGGATAGCTTTTCATCCAGCGGGCTGATGACCCCACTTTGAAAAAAGTATATAAGAATATCTCTGATTTTCTTTATTTGGATGTTACTCGAGTTTTAATTCTCCGTAATTTGTCGCTTGTCGTTCCAAGAGATCCCCCCCCCCCCATCCCAGGAAGGATGGCTCCTGTAGTTCCGGAGAGTATACAAAACGTCTCCAACATCGACTGTAGACATTAATGGGATGAACAGACAAGGCTACATGATACGATGCGTAGGTGAATCATGTTTGGTACAGCCATGACGAGCATTTATCATTTAGATAATTCTATATGGAAATTCCCGTCGTAAAGAAAATGTAGTGTCCTGTAATTGGCTGATTATAGCAAGGGTGCTGAATAGGCTGTTGGTACGTTTACCCCCTGTGTACTCACGATATTCAATTCTCATCCTCGTCAGGGCTGGATAACATGCGAATGAATGTGCAAGTGATGACCTTGATTTATGGTAGCTACGTGTTTTTTCATGGGCATTTCACATCGGCGAGGTAACACGAGCCAAAACCAACGAATGAATTCATAAGCAAATCACTGTCTTCAGGTTTGAATTCCAGAACACCGTGAAAAGAGGATGGAGCGGGGGCAAGGGAGCGGTGGCCTTGAGATTAGACGATAGAAAAGCGTACTTCGAGGCACCCTTCTGGGCCAAGAAGGCCTTCAAGGGCTCCTGCGGAGAAGACCATTCTGACACGAAATCTGGAGTCTCGGCGAGACTTGGATCGTGGAGTGCTGGTTACTGAACTTTCCATCAAGGCCCCATACTCAATGACCAAGGATAAAGAGAATGAAATATATTTGTCAAGTTGTCAAATTGTAATTTTTTTTGAACACCTCATATATCCTCGTTAATGCTTCAGGTCACATTTGTGACCCACCAATTTTTATTTTTAATAAAGGGAGCAGGCACTTCAATGACTCTTCCAAATCAAATTAGCAAAATCATTACCAATATTATTCAATATTAATAATGATAACTACCCTTAATTATAGTTAATTTTATCTGATAACCACTTCCAAGATGGCAAATTTTGAACAGGTCACACTTGGGCATCATGAGGATATTGATTAGCAGATAGCCCAAAGCCTATGCAGCTCTAGCAGAAATGGTAGATACACAGTTTGCTGCATTGGTCATTCCATTACACAAAATCAAAGCACATGAATGGAAGAAGAGAAGAGACTCCAAAGAGGGAGGTGTAGCTCAGAAATTAAGAAATGATCACATAGAGCGGGTTTGAGGCTGTTTTAATTCAAAGTCTCTGATGGTGAGATGTTTTCCACCCTGTAACTGTTTAGTACATAAATGCCCACAAATGACAAACAATATGACTCACAAGTGGATTTGAAGCAATCCAATCAGTATTTTGTTTTTGCTCCCCTGCTATTAGGATAGAGAAAAAAAAATTTGGATTCCAAACTGTATTCTACATTCAATACAAAATGTAGTCTCCCCATACTTGAAATGATTTTCATTTCATCAATGTGACAATTTGTCAAAACTGTAACAAGGCACTTCTACTGATTATACAGCATGATAATTAAGAAATATTTTGGAGCTTCATTACTCCTTTCATGAGATCACAGAAAAGCAGGCAAGCAAACACAGTAACATAAAAAAATTGCATCACCACACTGACAGAGGTCATGCATAATCTATGAAAGACATAAATTATGGTCTCTTGCAAGGCTGACTTGGAGAAAAGGTTTTTAGAAAACTGCCCAGTTGGGCAGGTAAAATCTGAACATAATTCTCTCAAAAGATTTTTTGAGTCAAACAACCATGCGAAATATCAGAGACCCAGAGCTGACAATTCAAACCCATCCCCTCAACTTCATAAAGCAAAGCACCAGGATAGCTTTTAGGAATTCATGACTCACTCACATGACATGACATACAGCAAGTGAAGTACATTTGAAATTTTCATGTTGATATCTGACTTGGTAACCCAACATGCAGGGGTACAGATGATGTCAATTAGAGAATCATAGTGAGAATCAGTTATCCACACTTGAAATCATGCAACTACTGAGCACTTTGGTGAATTCCCTTTTTGGGATCAAAGACAAAACGGCGAAATTTCAGAATTGCTTTTATAGGCTCCCCAGTTTCCATAGGGTTTGGTGCAGCTTTTCCCTTCTTTCCTCCCTGAAGTTGCTTCCATGTATCTTCCTGAAGACCACCTATGATGCAGAAAATGGAGCATTTCTCAATATTGCACTCAAGTTCAGGCAGAATCCACAAAGCACTTAATAAATAAAATTTCCAGCTCTCACCTCTAACAACCACCTTAATTTTGCCACTTTGTCCAAATGTCCCCTCGATGACACCATCTTCTCCAGTGGAAAGGGAGACCCTCAAACCCATAAAGACCTGCATGTTTGTCTCTTTGCGAAACATGGACTTCACAATCACTTCATTCTCATTTTGGGCTCTCTCCACAATCCCTTCCTTTTGTTTGTCTCTGAATACTCTCACCATTGGCAAACATGTTTCCCTGTAATTTTTCTTTGTGAAACCCTCAAGAAGTCTGCCATGAAATGCAAGGCGACATGTGTTGGCATGGATGTCTGTGTCCAACTTGGAACCAATCACAATACAGTTTGGAAAGGCAACCACAACATGCTCAAACTCCAACAATGCATATTGTACTTGAGGCACTTCAATCCCTTCTTCTTGCTCTTTCTTCTTGGAATCATGGAGATGAGGTAGGTATTTGAACTCACGAGAGTAGTCAAATGTCATGCCGTTGAGATCACCTTGACCATTCTCATCCAGTCCGAAAAAAGTTGCTTGGGCCATCACAGTCTCATGTGATATAGTGACATGAAATTTGGCCTTGGTCAGAATTGCATGCTTGTAATAGGGAATGCAAACTGCTGATATAATACAAGCATAATAAGGCTGGAGATAGCCTGGGGTGCATGCCAGACCTCTCTCTAGCTGTTTGGAATCAAACTGAGTGACACAAATTCCTGCTCTGTCTCCCTGAATAATACGGTTCACTGGATTCCTGAACATCTGCATAGACTTGATTTTCTTGCTCTGCTTCAGAGTTGGGATTTCAATCATCTGCAAAACAAAGACAAGCTAAGTTAATGAAAAAATGAGCTGAGCAAGTCAGAAAAGAGTATTTACTATAAACCACTTCCTACACTAAAACATGAGTAACATGCAAATTTATATTCTCCAACACACAATCACTAACCTTATTTACACTCCTTCAAGGTAGGTCATCTTGCATATACAGGGTGATCATAAAGTAATGCAGTGAAATATACATGGAGAGGTCGGAAAGTTTGATTAATTTTAATGAAGGAATACACTATTCATATCCTCTCCACAGCTCATCTATTCAGGACTTCTCAACATAGTCACCACCAATATCGATGCATTTCTTCAGGTGGTGGAACCATTTTTGAAAGCACTCCTCAAAATCCTTCTTTTCAAGCTTTTCCAGCTCATCATTAACCACTTGAATCACATCCTCTCGCGTTTCGAAGACTTTTCCACGCAATGGTTCATTAATTTTTGGAAAAAGCCAAAAGTCACATGGCGCTAGGTCAGGTGAGTACGGGGGCGCTTCGACGATATTGATGCCAGAGGCGCCAATGAAGAGCAGCGTCTTGGTGGCTTTGTGCGCGCCGGGGCATTGTCACGATGAAGAAAAAACTCCCGAAGTTTGACTCGGGGGTGACCTCTACGGAGATTTTTGAAGACTTTCGTCAAACACGTCTCAATGTACCATAGAGATGTCACCGTCTGGCCCTCTTCAAGTGGAATGGTGGCGACGATGCCATTGTGAGAGAAAAAAAAAGGCAAACATGACTTTGCCGGCGGACTTTCTCTCGGAAAAGAAAAAGAAATACTTTGCCGCTGGCAAAGTCATATTTACCATTATTTTCTCACACGATGGCATTGTCGTCGCCATTCCACTTGAAGAGGGCCAGACGGTGACATCTCTATGGTACGTTGAGACGTGTTTGACGAAAGTCTTCAAAAATCTCCGTAGAGGTCACCCCCGAGTCAAACTTCGGGAGTTTTTCTTCATCATGACAACACCCCGGCGCACAAAGCCACCAAGATGCTGCTCTTCATTGGCGCCTCTGGCATCAATTTTGTCGAAGCGCCACTGTACTCACCTGACCTAGCGCCATGTGACTTTTGGCTTTTTCCGAAAATTAATGAGCCATTGTGTGGAAAAGTCTTCGAAACGCAAGAGGACATGATTCAAGCGGTTAATGATGAGCTGGAAAAGCTTGAAAAGAAGGATTTTGAGGAGTGCTTTCAAAAATGGTTCCACCACCTGAAGAAATGCATTGATACTGGTGGTGACTATGTTGAGAAGTCCTGAATAGATGAGCTGTGGAGAGGAAATGAAGGAGAAAAAAAAAGTGTATTCCTTCATTAAAATTAATCAAACTTTCCGACCCCCCCTCGTATAATAGTAGGTAATAGGTGCCATTGCACCTATTGATATCATGAATGGTTGCCCATTTATTATTGCTTGACTGAATCTTTTATCTTTGTTTCAGATCCATTTTAAAGTTAAAAATTGAAACCTTAGAACAATAACAAAAGACATTTCCAGCATTTATTATGAAAAGTTAGTAAACAAGATACTGATATATTTTCCACTTGCATTACTTTACAATCACACTTTAGTCTTCCATGGAGGTTTGCATTGTTCTATCAGTTATTATGACCTTCCAATCAGATTTCAATAATCTCCCATTTATTCTATAGGTACATGTAAAAACCCAAAGCTGATATTCAAGTAAACAGTGCTACCACTCTTAGCAAGAGTAGTAGCACTGTCTTACTCTTATTGCTTGAGTAATCCTTCCAGCATTTAGCATTAGAACTACTGGAACTGTCAATATGACCACTGCATTAAAAGTAGTATGAAACTATTATTCTGTAACACTTCATTAGCTTTTCCAGATGTTATTTGGTATGTTCAAAATGTTGATGTTAAAAAGTAAAAACTGCAGAGGCCCTTAGTTGCCAAATGAGCAGTGTAAAGTGCATTAAAAATCAGCAAGCAGTCAAAATGACTCCCCCAGGAGTTCTAGTCTTTTATTTGAAATGAAAAATATATTATAGATAGAATCAATTTTGGAGATGCACTGTTGACTGCATGAACTCTGCAAATAATTTTTTCAAGTCTTTAATGGTTATAGCAAATAATCCTCATCCATGAGAGGAAGGATCTCCAACCTATTTTCCTATGCTTCTCTAAGTTGGAGCTAGACTAAGGAAATTAGCATCCAGGGGTTATAAACTGGTGATGAGATCAAAGAGAGGGTACAGTCTGAAAGTAAATATAGAATATATAGGGTGGTTGAAAAAAAATGTTCTACCATTTTCTATGGGAGAAACACAGTTTCATAAATGCAGCAAAAAAAATTACATTGGATATGCAATCGATATTTTTGACAGTTACCAGGAGTTGAAATACTTACCTTCAGCACCCCTGCCCAAGTTGTAAAATGCCCATTTAGAGGTGGATTAAAGGTGCTTAGAGGTTTATCATTCCACCTCAAGTGAGATGATTACCTGTGCTCGACCGTCTCAGAATTCAATGAATTTTTTAACTTTAACTCTTCAAGGTACAGTTGGATCCAGCTGAAACTTGACAGAGAGGTTCATGAGTCTAATGGGTTTCTTTCCCTTCTGCAAGCCTCTGCTCTGCAAGCCCTTTGTTTGTCAAGGCACAAGCTAGATCCTCTTAGTTCATCTTGTCCCCACTGTCTCCTGCGTCTGCTAAAGCCATCATTTGCTGCAGCATGGTATACCCAGAAACGGTAATCTGGAAAGTGTTAATATATACATTCCCAGTTTTCCACCTCTGTCCACATTACCATGGAATTCTCCAAATACAACAAATACAGACAGCCACTATGAGGGTCTCCATAAGAGCTATCACAGGATAATAGAAAGGGAATTGACAGATAAAAGGATAGGATCTTCATCCTGTCACAGACCAACTAGACAATGACAGCCAGAGTGAACCTGTGTCAAGATGTACTTAGATATGTTAGATACATTTAGTATATTACTCTATTCTGAACTAATAACAAAGAAGTTGGTAGACCTAAGTTGAGAGAAAATGAGAAGAACACAGAAGCAACTAACATCATTGACTGAAATGGATCCGTATAGAGCTGTGCCAGTCATGACAGTTCCCTGGCCTCGAATGCTGAAGCAATGATCCACAGCGAATACAAATGGTCCATCAGGATTTCTAACCGGGCATGACACATATGAACACAATGTTGACACAAGCTCTTGCACACCTAGAAGAAAAATGCTGTGCATGTCAATTACTTTGTTTTGTTTTTTTTCCTTAAGAATTTCTGGGTTTAGAAAAAAAAAATTCAGAATGATCATATCCCCTTTTTTTTAACTCAACAATACAACTTTTCAGCAAAAAAGTTGGAGCGTTGCACCACTGCAGTGAGGAAAAAAGTTGATTGCTTGCAAAAAAAAAATACATCAGGAACCAATAAACTGAATGCAATGTGTTACTCTAACCCCTAAATTGGGCTTGATGCCTTTAAATGTCACCTTTCTTTCACTTGGTGGTTATTACACCTAAATTTTAAGGCATATATTCATCGAGGAATTCATATCAGTATAATTTTTCCTCCTGTGAAACATGTGAAAATTATTGTATGAAGTAGTATGTCACTTGTCAGGCTCAGAAATGAAAAATTTCTCAACATGAGTGGAGAGATTTAAATTCCCCAGGCAAGGGGTTAAAACTCTCTATCATGGAGGAATAGAGAAAGGAGAATGATAAACCAAAACGAATCATTTAAAAATGGAAATAAATACTAACAGGATTTCATGTGATTACATTGGAGGGGAAAATTATATAGCATTACATGTAGCACAACACTAATCTCTTAACAGTTTAGTTGAGCTTCATGACATTTAGGGGCCACAAAGCTTGCTAAAGTGTTAAATAGATTTGGAGGCTGTCTCTACAAGAATATTACTTCTCTATAGTCTAACAAAACTCCACCACTGCTTAGTGACACTTTCAAAACTAAAAGAAAACAAACCTTGAGGATGAAGGTTTTCATCTTCAGAGCCACCAGGATGTGCAGCTACTGAGACAATGGGTGCATCAGAAAAGCAGGTGTTTTGCAGAGTCAACTTCATTCTTTTGACCATCTGAATGAAAGATGCAAAATATCTAGATTAAATTTGTTCAACAAGAGAAATAAGTAATGGGTCATTTTATGAAATTCAATCATGTGCAAGTCATATACATAAGGTTTCACAAAGCATTTTTACCTCACTGGACCATTCAAGAAAAAACAGGAAAGTATGAGAGTGCAACATCTGAAAGTAACATCTTCACATCAAAACAGATTGCAGATCAGGTTCAACATAAACAGAGTGAACTAGGATGGCCACATAGGAATACTGTCAAAATCATGAAAGAATTCAAACATTCCTCAATGACCATAAAATATTGTGGAAATTTGATCTTTAGGAAAAGGGAGCATTCCCTTATTAGTTCCTTACATGGAGAAGTGATAGCACCTCTAGCTAAAATTATCATACCAGAATAAAATTAGAAATTGATGGGTTTCATCAAATACTGTAAACCAAGGAGTAAAATAGTTTGAGGAAGGAAAAGAACAATGAGTAGCATATATATAGAGTATGATGTGATACAAATGAAAACCATCTGCCCACCAATACTATCCTATTATTTTTTCCATTCCACTTTAAGTATTGTGCATGGATCAGTACCTAATGGAACATATACACTATTGATTCTAATGTCTCTGCTAAATTCCTCTTTCATTGGCATGCATTACTGATATATTTGAAGGAAAATAAAAAGGGGTAGGTATTGGCGAAGCAAGCATGAGCAGAAGCTATACCACCCATTATCATCAAGTAAAACAACACAGGCCACAAGAGCACTCATTTGACTATGACTGCTAATTGATCAAACATGGGTTATTAGATTGATTATGCAAACTTCAATCAACTCATAATTTCCTCAGTGAAAATGGTAAGAAAAACATTTGGCACACCATCATTTGCCAGATGACAATGAAAATTATGCCTTGGAAGCACCAAAGATGGGCCTACCACAATCTTAGAACCAATAAAAGGGAATATTTTATAGTTGGTTCGAACTAACACAGGTGCAAAATTAGAAACAATTCCTGGCTGCCATTTTCCTTATTCTACCACTGCATCTAATCTCCTCTCAACTAGTATATCTCATTATGGTCCTTGTGGCCAAAGCATTGTTCTCACCATTCACTAAATCTATGGTGCATCCTGCAAAAATTATAAGTATCCTATTGCAGCCCTAGGGTTAAATTTTTATATCATATTCTACCTTCTATACATTGTTGAAATTCTTCTATTTCCTATACCACTAGTAGTAACAGTAGTAGACAGACCATAAAGCCCTTTTGATTCTTTTAAATTCAACGAATGAATGCTGAAACACCTTCCTAAGTAAAATCTTGGAAGTAAGAACCTTTTCAATGGATGCTTTCTGCTTCTCCAGGGGGAGCAGATCAACTTTGTTGAGGACAACAATCATCTTCTGACAAGTTATCTCTCCAATCACAATACATTCTGCTGTCTGGGTTTGCACTCCTTTTGTCACATCAACAACCAGAAGCATGATATCCAGGATTTGTGCACCTGTCAAAATATGTAATGCAACATCAAGGTTTTGAGATTTGTGTTTTTCACTTGACTTAGACACTCATGCATGAAGAATGTCCCATGCACGAGTGTCAGGTGAAACATTGTCCTACTCAAGGGAAAAACACTGCATACCCAGAGTAGTCCTAGCCTTGGTTACCCCATAGGCCTACATGAGCAGAGACAACCATTGATAAAGTCTTTAAAATTTTGTGGCGTACCTCCAATTATAGTCCTGATCAGCGAGGCATGACCAGGACAATCCACAAGTGTGAAAAGAACTTTTGCCGCCTGATTTTCTCCACGACCTTGCCGAAGATGAGGTGGAGCATCGACTGTGAAGCTGCTGAAACCCAAGTCGATGGTGATCCCTCTCTCTTTCGACTGTGGGTTCTTGTCGAACGCTGCCGTACTTGCTACAGTGCTGAGGGCTTTGCATAATGACGTCTTCCCGCTGTCAATGTGGCCCAGGACTCCCACGTTCACATTCACCACGTGCCCCATGCTCTCTGCCATGTCTTGGTTCACGTGTGTTAGGCCACAGAAGCGTAATGTGCAGCAGGACCTGCGCTGCTGCGGAGCATACGCATGGCAGTAGGTCCCTTGCATCACCCACAGATGGCCCTGCCTTTCCGGTGAGGCATTTCTCATGTGGGGGCAATCAGAAAAAACAAGTGAGTTACTTCGATATTCCGAATATGAAAGTGGAAAGAAATGGCAGGATATCGAGACACTGCGCCCTTTTTCTTACCGGTGAAAGCCCTCTCGAGAGATTATCTCTCCTCGCTTTGTTTTCAAATCCAATCCCTCACGAGAGAACAGAGGGATCTACGGGATCAGGTAAGAGAGGCACATAAAAATATTTTCATTTCGATCTGCAACGATGAGGCATTGAAGTAAATCAGATGGAAACTCTTTCTCCGCGAGTGCCTTCGATTCACTTCGTACTTTTTTTGGATAATCGTTTACTCGATCTGGCATAGAATGGAATTTCTTTGTCGTTAGATTTCTTCCCAGCCTTTCACAAATCTTGCTGCTTCACTGGCAACAATAGGCGAAATATCTCGTCGATCCACCGAGATAAGAGGCCTGAATAAGTAAAATTAATTTGTTTGAGCAATTAGTAATTCCATTTTAATTAGGGGGGTTGAAGCCTGAGCTGTGTCTACTTCGTGAACGGACAAAATTTCATGAGATTCCGAATCTTTTACGATATCGATAGGTTCCTTACAGATTGATTCTGGGAATGTGCCCTTGAAACTAACGGTAATGCAATGAAATCATATGCTGGCACGGAGGGTTTTCGGCTGATATCGGAAACATCTTGGGACCCTGCAACGACAAGAAAGGCTTGTTTCTGTCATTCGAAGAGTCGACTTCAAGGTCTCACGCAAAATGGAACATACAGTGTAGAGGCATGAGGAGAAACTCCAAAGATTGGTTTCTCCATCTCTCAGACTAAAAAAAAAAAGCCACTGAGGACTTCGAGGTCATTTGTGTTAAATAGGCAAAAATTTGAAGGAAAAAAAAAGGCCTTATTGACGAAGAAGTCTCCGAAACTTCCGTTGAATGTATGCTTTTGTGTCGATGAAAAAAAAAAAGCTGTCATCAAAATCCGCCATTTCAAATGGCTGGGATCTGGGACCACAAAAAGTGAGTCATCAACCGGATCTATACGATTCCTGCACGGAATAGTGGAATTCCCCATTAGCCTAGTTAGAGGGTGCCCAGGTGCGCGGGATATCGAGCGTCTGGATGGATTTGTCCTTCTGGTGTTTGCCTGAATTGCCTTGCCAGGCTGGGGGAGGGGAGAATTTCTCGCGTTAATATAGCTTTGATGAATCATCAGGCGATATACCGTGCAGGCGATACTCCGCGAACTTTCTCGACTCATCTGGGAAGCGGAGCTTTCCGAGGGGGAAAAAAAAAACATATGGTTAATGAGAGGAGCAGTGACTTAGCGACAGCATATATGTACATGAATGCATTTATTATAGGAACCGTTCGGTTCCCCATCCCCGCCACCTGCACCATGGCCCTGCATGCGTTCATTTTGTCGCAGTGGTAGATTCGAATGAGTCTGACCCCGACAGACTGCGCTGGGGCGACGCCATCGTCTCTCGTCCGTCGTCTGCTCCTGGGGAGACACCGTCATCCTTTCGCCGCCAGGATTCGCCGCAGTCGCGCCAGGCGGCCTTGGCGAAGGCATTCCGAGGGCTCCCGGTTTTGCAGCTATATTATATTGTAAAGTGTATATAGTGCCAGGAGGAAAAGAATCCGTTTTTTTGGACCGTTCTTGGACTATGCTCCTCGGACGAAAGACTTTCTGTCTGGCGCCAGGGACACTTTGACCTGAAACTGATGAAAATAAGAATTTTTAACTGTTGAATAATGTTATATGGGATTCATATTGAAGAGAGGAGGTCTGAAGAGATTCTCCGTCAGAGGAGTCAAGGGTGGTTGGTACGGGGTGGCGCAGAAACAACGCGTGACTCTATTAAACCTGCTGTGGATAATCTAGACGTGTGATTTTTTTTCGCATCACATTGGAAACACTTTAAAATTTGTTTCCTGAAAGTTTCCTGGATAAAAAGCGACAGTCGTTCGAAATAGAGTCATAAAATGTACCTTATCAGGTGTTTCAGCACAGCTCGAATGATTCCTCTGTCTTGACGCCGTGATGGCTGCTTTTTATGCCATGTTTACGCCGTAGCATTCTGCGTAGGATCGATTCTGATGCTACGACGAAGAATACCACGAGGACACGGCATAAAAAGCAAGCTTTATGGTGTCAAAGGAGAGTAATCAGTCGAGCAGGGCTTCTAACTCCGGTAAAGGACTCCACTTGGAACGACTATCGCTTCTTATTCAGACAACCCAGACACATGAAACCTTTCAGGAAACAAATTTTTTAGCGTTTCCAATGTGATAAGAAAAAATCAAATGCCTCGGTGATCCTCAGCGGGTTTTATAGGGCGTCAAACAGGACGCGTCTTTTTTGAGCCACCCGGTATAATAAACAAAATTAAGTCTTAGATAAGTGAAAATCCAAAACTCCTAAATATCTTCCTTACAATTTAGCGACAGCTCAAGCAAAGTGCCTTTCGTCCCTTGAAAGACCAAAGGTGCGATTATACACAGCGCGACGAACCTTTTCTTTCATAGTGGAAATTTAGACGGCTAAGGGCCTGCATAATTCACTCGAAGACGTCATGATTCCTTTCATACCCGACCGTTAGATGAAGCCCCCCCTCCCCCCCGTTCCCCCTTACCCCCCTCCCCCCTCCGCCCCCCCGCGACGCTCACCTCTGATCCCCAGTTTTACTCAGTTCTGAACAAAGATATTTCTTCTCCTTCCTGAAATCATATTTCTCCTCCTCTACCGTGCTTCCTCCTGCGTTTCCCACTCAAGCGAGATTTTTTTTTCACTTGACTCAAAAACTCATGTATGTCCATCGTGCACGAGTGTCCGCGTCGAACGAAAAAAATGTCTGACTCAAGACCGACTCGTGTCTGCATCATGAACCAAATCGCAAATTGTGACGGTGTCAATCAAGCACCCGTAGTCAGAGTGCCCCGCCGATCGAGAAAATTATTCCTCACCCCGTTGGACTGTCAGAAGAAGAGGTAATCCCCCCATCAGGCCCCACGATAATCAGCCGTTCGCGTTGCGGAATGCTTCAGCTTCTGACCCGATCTGCCCACACTGAGGTCCCCACACCCTCGCATGGGCCCGAGCCAGCTCTATGGTAATTTTTTCTTACTGTGTAATTTGTTCCCCTTTCTATCCTCTGCAAGAGCAAAAAAAGAAAAGGAGAAAGGGAAACGAACGTCATGGACATGAACCTCGCGTGAAGATCCTTCTCGCAATGCATACATATTAATTTTCCGCCTAGGAAATCCTGGAAGCTCAAGGTCTCGCGTGACTTTTTTTTCCTTTCTTCTCCAAAGACTTTTTGAGGTGGCGTTCCCCCCTTCGTGGAATGCATTGAATCGGCCGCAGAAAGAGAGCGTGTCCCGAGCATCGGTCAACATAATTTTTCCGAGACCCGGATCGTCCCGATTCCGCATCGGAAAGGGTTTGGAAAGAAATTGCTTTTTTTTTATCTCGGGACTGAAACTCATCAGAGCCGAAGTCGCCATGGAAGCAACAGAAATCCCGTCGGCTGCCACGGCCAACAGTTCTCGAGTGGTGCGTCGCCACGTTTTTATCGATGGGAGGAACAAAGAAATAAAAAGTAAAAAAAAAAAGTAAAAAGCGGATAAATAGAGACGAATGAGAAGTGCCAAATCCAACTCGGAGTACAAACGAGCTTTCACTTCGCGAACACGACCGCCCCTTCGAATCCAGATGACAGGCCGACACGAGAATGCAACAAGGGGGAAAAGCTCGGAAGCAAACAATCGACGCCCGTCCCGATTCTTTTAATTCCGTGCCTCGTTCAAGGAATCCAGTCGTGCGAATCAGTTTTTGGCGGGTATCGATGTTCCGCTGATTCGAGAATCTCTGAAACGGTTCCATCGATGTCGCAGACAGTCGAGGTCGGTGGAGTTGAGGTTAAACCTGGAATACGCAAAATTAAAATTAAAATTGTTGCTGCTCCTCTTGGGGATCCGGTGAGCTTCGAGCTTTCTTCTGCTCGGGGTTTTAGCCAAAATTTTTTTTTCTTCCCCAAACTCGAAATTCATTTCTCACGCATGCGTTTTCCGCGCCATCACATCCGCGCGTCCTCGCGCTTGTTCACTCATTTGTTTGCTTTCGAGTCACGCGACTGGACCGTTCTAACCGTTCGTGACCGTTCGTGATCGTTCGTGACCGTTCGTGACCGTTCTGGGATCGTTCCGGAACGCCGTGGGTCGCATGAATATGGGGATCGGTCGGTCGTCGCTCGGAAACAGGTCAGAGAAAACCACTGCATGCCTCTCGGTGGCCGGGTCCGTTTCTCAAAAATCGATTTTAAAAAAATAATAATAATAAAAAGATGAAATGGGATTTGGAAGTCTAAGAAGTCTGTTTTCATTTCTCCGAGAGAAATTCTTTATGTAGGGAGATGAAATCGTTTCTTTCTCTCCACGCTCTCGAAAAAATTTTTTTCCCTTGATTCGAATCATCGATGGATGAAATTCTTTGTTGCCAAGGTGGTAAAACGTTGTATATATTTGCAGTACGCAACTAATAGAGCGCAAAACGAGATCCAGGGCGTCCCGGAAATTCCACGCAAAAGGAGCCGGGAAAGAAAACTTTAATATGATTTTTTTCACGTTAGAAAAATTTATTCGACCCAGATTCTCGAGAAATCGCTCGTCGGAACCAGAGAGACGATAAAACGAAGAAATCGCCACGACGAAACGGTCCCCTTACGAGACCACGAGGGAGGGAATCGATCGGAACCGGCAACTCCTTCCACGTGATTTATTTTTTTATTATTTTTTTTTTTTGCGAGAGAAGTTCCTCCGTTCGAAGAAAAAAAATTGTTCCCCCGCATTCCGTAATTAAAACGTCCTTTCCGCCTTCGAATCTGCGGGAAATTCTGCGCACTTCTCCCCATCGGCGCACTTTCGGAGACCTTGGCATTCCGGGACCTTTTTTTTTTGCGACGTTGCAGGGAGAAAGACCCACGCGAGTCGGGAAATAAATCTCGAGCT